CACATGAACTCTGTAGTTGTCTTTTATAATGTATCTCTTACTGTTCGCAGTTGAATTAATAATGCTTTTTACAACCAAGCTGTTGAAAATGATCAGAAACTAAACACAATGCAATGGAGAAAATAAAGAAGGGACATATTTTTTGTGATTCGGTTATAAAAATATACCTCCAAAGAAAAGAAGGGTGTGGAATTCATTCTAGGAATGTAATTTGCATATTGGTACATTTATACACAATTTATTCAGTATCACATCAATTAAAGTATATCTAAACCTAAGAACAAAAATTTAACGTATGGCAACTTACTTGTATTATACTTCTTTTTTTAGACATTCTATGCAAGAACAAACAAATTACAGTTGATCCTGCCAGAATTCTAATGTCCTCGTAATGTCTTTTGCACTAAACTGAAATCTTAAACAATTTTCTTTCAGTTCTCATCTGTCTGCTTTGAAACACCTCCCACCTATGTGATGGAAAGAAGAGGGGACGGTGGTTGATAGTTCTATTAAAGAAAAGTTAAGAGGGCTCTGGTAGTCCTCACACACTTCCTGTCCAAATGTGACAATGCTGCTTCTCTATAGTTAGGAAAGTTAGTGTTTTCACCCCATGGGTGTCACAAGCACCCAACACCCAAGGCAGGTGCCCTGCATCTGGTGAGTGCCATGGATCATGATGCCACAATTGCCTTTATGTTTTCCTTCAACTTTGGTGTTTTAGCAATTGCTAGCTACTGTCCTGCCTACGGGCCTGCCTACTGCATGTCAGACTGTAAAGTTTTAGAGAACTTTCCTGATTTCTGTGCTTCAGATCTAACAGTTGGCCAGCAGGCAATGACAGAAGCCAGCAGCTGCCAAAGCACCCAAATTGAAGAAAAACGTGGGCTGTCTAGGTGTCGTCATCAAAGGCACTATCCAATAGGAATAAGTGAATGCGTCTGTGTTTGGCTTGCTGGGTGTTCATTGAAATTTAAAAATTGCAAACTTAAGGTCTCATGCACTCAAGTGTCAAAAACAAAGCGCTCAAGTCTGCAAAGCAAACATTATTGAACATAGATGAATGCACACAATTGGTTTTCAATGTATGTTTGAACATTCTACATTTAGGACCATATACATGTGAAACACTTAGTTCTCATTATCAAACAAAAAATCAATGCATTCACAGTCTGTTTAGTGTTGGATTTGTGGACCACACAATATTTTTATAATATTGTTTACAAAAACACTTCAAATCTACAACCTAACTGGAAGTCATTGGGAGGTAAATCTTGAAACCAATTCTGTACATTTTAAAATGAATAGTTAAGGGACTGTAAAAAAAAGGGGCATGGGGAGCTGGGCACTGCCCTAAGGGGACATGTACCACAGCAAAAATAAAACAAAAAAAAAAAAACTTTCAATGGGGAGCAGCTCTTTTAAAGCTTAAAGTAGAACATTAAATATAAAGAATTTCCTTAAATAACATGCTTTGGAGATGTCCTAAACGTGAAATGGCACACCTATATGATGTACAACAAATAACTACAAAAAAAGTTCTCTTTAGTTTCTATTGAAACATTTTAGCATAATCTTTCTTCACCAATTGAGGTCCAAATGTAATCTGATACCACGTGTGTGTGAGACTTTTTCACAGCTTAACTGCATTGAGAGGCCCAAAAGTTAAAGAGCACATTCAGGCTTTCTAGAGGCATAAACTATACATTTCATTTTTTGACTACCTATCACATTTTTAGAGGCCATGGAACACCAGGAGGGGTGGAGACACCCACAAAATGAACATATTTTTACAGCAACCACCGCAAGGCATTTTCTAAGAGGTGTAATGAGTTTTTTAACAATGTCATATTTTTTTGACACGTTTTTGGAAAATCTGGAAGGAAAAAGAAAATGTATTTTTTTATTCAAAGTTCCCAATTAATTAGATATTTATAACGCACCTCATAGGCATGTTTAGGATTACACCTCAAACCACATTTTGAAACTTCTCCCACGTATGGGAATATGACATGTGTGAAATTTTTTTCACAGCCTTTTTACAAAAAGAGGCCCAAAATATAATGAACAGGCTTTTTAGCTGCAAAAATTACTATACCATATTTAGAGGTCCTGGAGCACCAGAACAGTAGAAAAACCCACAAAATGACCACATTTTGGAGAGTGAACACGTCAATGTAATTTTTTAAGGAGCACGGTGAGTCTTTTGAAGACTTCATTTTGTGCAACAAGTTTTTGGAAAATGCTTGCAGAAAATTTTATTTTTTCACAACCAAAGTTGGCAGTTTTATAAGATATTTCTTACACAGCATAGACATACTTAGAATTTCACGCCAAAACACATTCTGCTTCTCTTCTCCCTGAGTATGGAGATACCATATGAGTGAGACTTTTCCTATGTTTGGACTGATTATGTACCGGACATTGTATCGTGTATCACAAAAAACACCCAACACTGCACAGAAAACACTGTACTATAATGGTTGCTTTGTACAAGTGGTCAGAGAATATAGCTTAGTATAGCAATCCCCATTCCTATAAGCCAATCCAACCTAGCCAACTGGTCATCAATAATGAAAAAGTCACTCCTATTCACATTCAGTATCCAAAAGACATAGATGAAAAACAGCTTTTCATATAGAGCAGAAACAGGTAGGACTCTGCAACAAAGTTTATCAAAATCCTTGCAATATACGTTGATCAACCAAAGGGACCCAAAGGGAGTTTTTATGATGTAAACTCCTGGAGTAGGCTAAATGACCAGAGTTGCCAGACCACTAAAATCATGGCTTGCTGAGATATTTGACTCTATTTTTGAAAGATGTGTATCATGCAATTAAACTAGTTTAACATTAGATTGGTAAATTTGAGAACCAGTTCGTTAGTGTGGGATACTCATACATCTAACATTCCAAGAAGAAAACCACAGGTGTTAGTAGCCACCATTTAATCTGATGATAATTAAGTAGAATGGAGTGTGGCCTCCAGTTGTATATGTCTGAAAAATAAAAGGTAAAAGCTGTCATTAAAGGGTATAATTGATAATTATAATTATATATATATATATATAATATATATATAATGGGCAGCACAGTGGCTAAATGGTTAGCACTTCCGCCTAGCAGTACTAGGGGGTCGCTGGTTCGAATCCCAACCTTGGCACCACCTGCCTGGAGTTTGCATGTTCTCCCTGTGACTGCGTGGGTTTCCTCTGTGTACTCCGATTTCCTCCCACACTCCAAAGACATGCTGGTAGGTTAATTGGCTCCTGTCTAAATTGGCCCTAATATGTATATGTATGAATGTGAGTTAGGGACTTTAGATTGTACGCTCCTTGAGGGTTAGGGACTGATGTGAACGTACAATATATGTATGTAAAGCGTTGCTTAAATTGACGGCGCTATATAAGTTTCCTGAAATGAAATGAATGAATAATGAGAAATATGAACATCAATTAACTAACAATTAAAAACTAGATTTAGTATACAGTATGTGTGTTGAAATCACAATGCGGTATTACTTGAATAAGTATAACCCATGTGTTATGTAATTTATCCTAATGGGAGCTATTTAGAAGTACAGTAGATAATGTGACTGGGATGTAATCTCTAGGATTGCTTTGGAACCATAAATGTTATATAGCAAAAATTACATACACACAGGTTGAAATCTCAATACCTTTTGAAAGTATTCCAGTTTACAAATTTGCCATCTAGTGGACTATCAGTCACATTAAAGCGGATCTCCTGGCTCCCCCCCAAAAAAAATCAAAGTCAGCAGCGACACATGCTTTCACTGCTGACTTTTAATATAAGGGCATTTATCTGTCCGGGGTTCAGCAATGTCCTCATCCGAGACAATTCTTCAATTAGCTTCAGGTGCTGGTGCTGGCATCTTCAGTAAGGGAAACTGGAAGAGAAGCCTTGTAGCTTCACAGCCGGGCTCCTACTGCACATGCACGAAGCTCGTGAGCTTTGTAACTGGGCCGCAGTCTTCTGGGGCCTGTGAAGTGTCCCCGAAGGCTGCAGGAGTTAGGAGGGGGGCTGTCAAAACAAGGTACCCACTCCCACCCAAAAAGTGCCGCAGTGGGGGCAGAAGAGTGGAACTTGCCATTTTGGGTGGACCTCTGCTAAACTAAGCTAAACTTCAGGTATGATCTTTGTGGTTGTAAAGGCCCAAGGTTTTTTTTTACCTTCATGGATTCTATGCATGAAGGTAAAAAAATCCTTTGATGTGTTGCTTCCCCCACAGCCCCCCAACACTTACCTAAGCCCCAGGTCTCTCTGTACTCATTGGCTGAGACACTGCAGCAGAAGCCATTGGCTCCAACTGCTGTCAATCACAGCCAATGAGGAGAGAGTAGAGGCAGGGCCAAGGCTGTGTCTTATGTACCCATGGAGCGGGGCTCAGGAACAAGCATGCTGCAGTGCCCTCCAAAGCAAACGACTTGCTATTGGGGGCACTGGTCAAGGGGGAGGAGCAAGGAGCGCTGGCGGGGGGACCCGAGAAGAAGAGAATGGAAGCTGCTCTGTGCAAAACCATTGCAGAGGACAGTTAAGTATGACATGTAATTTGTTTAACCGCTAGCCTACAGGGCACTTATACCCCCTTCCTGCCTGCCCAGGCCAATTTCCAGCTTTCAGCGCTGTTGCACTTTGAATGACAATTGTGCGGTCATACAACACTGTACCCATATGAAATTTTTATCATTTTTTTTGTGACAGATAGAGCTTTCTTTTGGTGGTATTTAATCACCTCTGGGATTTTTATTTTTTCTTAAACATACCAAAAACCACTGAAAATGTTGGAAAAAAAAAACGTTTTTTCTTAGTTTTTGTTATAAAATTTTGTAAATAAGTGATTTTTCTCCTTCACTGATATGCGCTAATGAGGCTGCAGTGGTGGGCACTGATAGGCTGCACTGATGGACACTGATAGGTGGCACTGATGAGGAGGCACTGGTAGGTGGCACTGATGGGCATTGACAGGCATCACTGATGGGCACTGAAAGGCAGCACTGATACATGGCACTGATAGGCAGCACTGATAGGCGGCACTGACTGGCACTGATAGGCGGCACTGAATGGCACTGATAGGCAGCACTGATAGGTGGCACTGATGGGTGACACTGAAAGGCAGCTCAGATGGGCACTGATATGTGGCATTGATGTGCACTGGTAGGCATTGATATGTGGCATTGATGTGGCACTGATGGGCACGAGGCACTGATGAGCACTGACACAAGGCACTGATGGACACTGACAGGTGGCACTGCTGGGGCTACACTGATCATCAAGGCACACTGATCATCAGTGCCCTGATGACCAGTGTACATGTCCCCTCCGCGGAAAGCCGATTACCGGCTCTCCTCTCCTCATGAGCTGTCAGCGTGACAGCTCGAGAGGAGAGAAATGCCGATAACTGGCATTTCCCTGTTTACATGTGATCAGCTGTGATTGGACACAGCTGATCACATGACTGAGCCAACATATTCAGCTCTTTCCGTGATCGGTAATCCCCTGTGTCCGAGGGACACAGCACAGCGCTGATCGCCATGCTGCACGCTCCCTGAGTCGCGCATGCGCGCTGAGAATGGGAGGACCTCATATGATGTCCTCCCAGAAGAAGAGAACCTCCTTGCGCCCGTCATTGGACTATATGGCAGGCGGGAGGTGGTTAAACAAATCTTATTATCATTTTAACTGCATAACTACATTGATCTAGCTTAGATCAGTGTAAAATGTGCATATCTCATACCTAAGTGACTACTGCAAAAGCAAGTAATCTCTCATCACTGCTATCTTCCAGGTATTGTGCCAAGTGGCTTCCCCTATCTGATACTGATCACAGGGGATTGCTTACTTTCGCAGAACATCTTGTACTTTTTCAATTAATCTTAAGTGGTTGATTTACTGAAACTGGAGATTTGGTGCAGCTGTGCTTGGTAACCAATTTGTTTCTAACTTCAGCTTGATCAATTAAAATGATTCTAAAGGTTGAATTTTTAAAAAAATAACAGCCATGTTATATGTACCTGCTCTGTGCAATGGTTTTGCACAGAGTAGCCACAATCCTGTCAACGGTCCTGGCTCATCCCCCCTGCCGTGAACCTCCAAAAGCAAGCCTCTTGATGTGGGGCAACTTGAGCCGTGCTCCTGTGAATGGACATTGCCCATTAACACACAGAGTGTGGCTCAGCCCTGACCTCACTCTCTCTTCATTGGCTCACTGGCTGTGATTGACAGCAGCAGGAGCCATTGGCATTGTGAGCCAATGAGGAGAGAGAGACCCAGGAGAGCTGTGGCTCTCATGCACATCACTGGAGCGAGATGGGGCTCAGATAAGGGGGGGAACTGCACCAAGAAGGTTTTTTACCTTAATGGGTAGAATGCATTAAAGTAGAACCTTCTGCCTTTAGAACCATTTTAAGCTTTGACAAAATAAACTGGAAGCTGGTTTCTATGCAGAGCTCAGTGGTGTATCTTGGTTTTATACTGCCATAGGCAAGACTAAAATTGGGCGTCCCCATCTAAATGTGTCCCACCCCTTTCTTGTCTCAGAGTCTGATGAGGAAGCTGCCACATAAATGCCACATATGTGGTCAATGGGGCACAGGATGGGGGTCAGCAGGTCAGTGGGACATAGGACAGGGTCAGAAGGGCAGGGGATAGGGTCATCAGAGCACAGGATGGGGTCAGTGGGGCAGAGGACAGGAATATCTTGTAATATAGCAGATGTCTGTGCTGCCCATGCAGGCTGTAATGACCTGTCCTCTCCCTGGCTAGCAAGCAGTTTGTCTGTTGTGATCTCACCAGCAGTGAGGGGATCCTCAGAATCCAATGGTTCCATAGTAGAAGCAAACCATGATTTCCTCTGCTGCTCCTCATCAGGCCCCCTGGAGAAACATTCTAGTCTGGCCGAAGCCTCACTACTTATATCCCCAGAAGCACAAGGGGGAAGCAGATCAGTGCCATCTTGGCTGCACCAGCCCGGAGCAGCTTACACACCGTGTTTGGCTGCTGTGGAAGAGCTCCTTTGTCAAAACATTACAGGAGGCAGTGGCTCCAGGCTCCCTGGAATGCAGTGATCTGTCTGGTGGTCTATTTCCTGACTAATTAAAGAGCTGCCTCTGCTCCACTGCCTGGGGGCAGTGCCACCCCCTTGAAAAATGCCTCCCAAGGCATTGTTTGCTTCTTGGTAGATGCGCCCCTGGCAGAGCTGCACCAGTTTTTGCATATTCCAGTTTTAGTAAATCAATCCCAATGTGTTCTCTGAATGAAGAGAAGATCATAACACCACAGCCCAGCCTCTCTGCCTTGTCCAATCAGAGATTGTTTTCTTTGCATTGAAAAAATACAAGGCATTCTGTAAATGGTGGCGGTGACCACACAATTTTAAAAATGTCATTTGGCGGGGAGCAGTGATTTTAATAATGCTTAAAGTGAAACATTAGGAATGCAACATTCTCTTAAATGACATGCTCGGGGGATGCCCTGAACCTATCGGTGATGTAGCGTATCTGTAGGATGTATACAACCTACTACAGGAAAAGTAACATTTACAAAGAGAAAAATGCCATTTGAATAGCAAGTAAATGTCAGTTCGTGGTTACACTACCCGTGCTGTTTGTTTACATTCACCTGTCAGTTAGGAATCCAAATCAGGTGCAAGCTCCCTAACAACCAGGAGGAAGCTTTCACATTTAACGGCGAAATATTATCGCTGCTAAATATTTCACTTCACACTGCAGCTGGAGGTTTGTTCATCCAAATACCCATTTGTTCAGTTGCTCGCTCAACATGCTCAGGTATGTGTTGGGTGTTAAGGGCAAGGGTCTCTATTGCTAAAGTAAAAAAGGACGGGAGACAGCTGGCGCGCCTGCCTTGTGCTCCTTAAAAGAAGGGGGGATAAGGTAATGGGGCTGTTAATCTGGATTATTAGACTTTGAATAGTCACTCATCTTTGAAATTTTGGGACAAAGTTTTTTACAAAAGCATGTCAAATAAGTCACTGAATGAGTAGAAAGCCCCTGTAGTGTTTAAAAATGCCAAAGCACATGTCTCTGAGATGTATCCCGAAAAGTGAGCCACAATTTGGGTCCTGTGAATATTAATTGTTGTTAACTTTCCAGGCATAAAGCCTGCTTGGAAAAAAAGCTAATATAGTTCTCTACAGGGTGGAAACGTAGAGACCCATCCACCACCAGAATGGAAAAAAACAAGGGGTACCACATCCCTTGATGTACAGGAAGATATTTCTCAAAAATGACTTTATTGGCACCCCAAGGAGTCACACAACAGTAATTACAAAAATATCAAAACATAAAATAATCCATAACACTAATATTCAAGCATGAATTGTTATACCTTCAACTCATCACATTTCAAAAGGACCTCCCCTAATAATGATGGAACCATACAACAGAGAAATATGCTCCTGGAGTGGACAGATATGTAGACTATACAGGGAGTCCTGATGTCTTGCTCCTTGACATGTTTAGTGGGTTACCCCTTTTTCGGGAAGGTGAAGGAATCATGACAATATTTACTAAATATATACAAGCATAATTATTACTAACACATAAAACATCACAGAAAAGAAATAACAATAACACACAAATAACAAGATAACCAACATTGTCTGACATACTAAAATTAAAACCATGGGTGTGCCAACTCAAACATATCCCAGTTGTGTCAGCATTCTGGGGTGATCACAGGAGTGCACACACAAAAGGGAGGCTCCTAAAAATGCAATTTTGTATGTACTATCAGTCAAAAAACCAAACAAGGATCAATAGAAATTACTAGCACATTGGCATATCTTCGTATCCAACAGAAATGTATGTGCAATGTTACAAGTACACACCTGTGCACACACCCTCCATCTAAGAATAATTCTTAAAGATGTTTCAAAAAAAGGGGCTGAACATAAGCTTGGCTTGTAAGTGTCCACAATTGTCTATAATAATCACAGAACAACTGATAAATGAAAGTTAAGTAAAGAAAACGGTATATCCTGTAGGCCAGAAGGTTGGTACCCAAATTGGAGGAATAACACACAGGGGAGATTTACTAAAACTGGAGAGTGCAAAATCTGGTTGCAGGTCTCCATAGAAACCAGTCAGCTTCCAGGTTTTGTTGTCAAAGTTTAATTGAATACACTGAAGTTAAAATCTGATTGGCTAACATGCACAGCTGTACCAGATACTGTGTGTTTCAGTTTTAGTAAATCTCCCACAGAGAGTCTAGAAAAGGGTTAAATGAATATTATATTGAAGGGTTGTAAGTAAACAGTCAACAAGGCAATTGGCAATCTGTAATGATTGGCACTAGTAAAATTGCTCTGGTAACTGCAACATAGATTTGCGGTAACAGATCCGGATACTCTTGAACTAGCAATGTCGGTAACACTGTTAGTACAAGCACAAATACAGTAACATTGATGGCACACAGAAGGTCCCAGTACTCAATATGGCACACAGTTATGGCCTACATTAATGGCCACTGCATCTGCAAGAGGGGTCGTTGCCTGATGAAGTGGTTTCTGGAGGAGACAGACAGGCTACTGCCCACTGTCAGGAGGTCATTACTCACCTCAAAAAACCATCCAACACCTAAAAATATGGGATGCTGTGTACAACAATAACCACATGGAGGAGCAAGCCAGAACACTTAACCCCCAGCTGTGGGTCAGGGGAGAACAAGGTGCTCTCATTAGTATACCAGTCTCTTCCCAATGTCTCTTTTATAGCTCTGCCCAGCTGGGCACGCTCCCAGATGGTACCCTCCTTGGCAGGCTAAAAACCAAGGCTAAAACCACTACTCACATGAGAGGACTCTGTCCAGGCCTTCAAGGCCTTATGCCCACCGCTGCAGGACCCACAGAGGAAGGTCAGGAGAGACATGGGGACTACAGCTATTCCTCTCATGTTCTGTTCCACCTTGTCTGGGACTTCAGCCGTGCAAGGGCCCTTTAGATGAGCTCTGCAGGAGACTACATCTTAGCAGTTCTGGGGTATCTCACTTCTATGCCTCATCTACCCTGGGCACCTCCAACACTGACATTTATATGGACACCCCCCTTTCCTGGCCTATCGGACTGCTCGAAATGGCCCTGGTATGGATTGGGGGGGCTTGTTTCTTTTCTTTTTTTTTTTAACCGGAACTTGTTTTGAATACATTTTGCTGACAGTTGGGAACCCCGCTGACAGCAGATAAGTCATGGTTAATGCTGAGGTAGCCTATCGGACTGCTCAAAATGGCCCTGGTATGGATTGGGGGGGCTTGTTTCTTTTCTTTTTTTTTTTTAACCGGAACTTGTTTTGAATACATTTTGCTGACAGTTGGGAATCCCGCTGACAGCAGATAAGTCATGGTTAATGCTGAGGTAGCCGTCTGTTTCTTAACAACCAGCGCTATTCTGAATGAAACAAAACAAATGCTGATGATACAAAATGAATTCTAAAAATGAAGAGTTCTTTAACAAATGCTTCCAAAAAGGAAATTCTTCAATTTACGAATGGATCCGGAAACAAAACAAAATTTTCTGGCGTGTACATGTCTAATAGCAGGCTCAGTAACAACTTTCAAAAACATGTCAAAACTGTAAAAATTGCATGTGCATACGTTTTTGGTGCATTCTCACTGAAGTCTATGGAACCTAAATTTTGTTTTATCCAGCTGTATTTACTCAGAGCAACCTATAACATCCAAGTGAAAGGTATAATACCAACATGTCAGAATTTTTTTTAACAATTCATAATCACTGAGTTGGAAAAAGGATCACCCCCTTGTGTCAGTATTGAACTACCTTTTGCTTTAGTTACAGCCTTTAGTCTGTTGGGATATGTCTCTACTAACTTTGCATATTTGCCTACTCTTCTTTGAAGAACAGCTCAAGTTCAAATAAATTGATGGTGATCATTTGTGAACTGCAGTCTTCAAGTCATTCCACAGATTTTCAGTGGGGTTTAAGTATGGGCTTTGACTAGGTCATGCAAGGACATTCACCTATTCTCCTTTAACCACTGTGTGGTCATTTTTGCTGTGTGCTTTGGGTCATTGTCATGTTCTAAGGTAATCTTTTGTCCCATTGACAACTTTCTGGCAGAGGGCAGCAGATTTTCCTCAAGAATTTGATAGTATTTTGCCCCATCCATTTTTCCTTCTTTCCTGACAAGTGCTCCAGTCTGTGCTGCAGATAAAACACCCCATTATAGGATATTACCACCTCCATGCCTTACTGTAGGAATGGTGTTATTTGGATGGTAAGCTGTATCAGATTTCCGCCAGACATATCGTTTAATGTTAAGACAAAATAATTTAATTTTAGTCTCATCTGACCATAACGTCTTTTTCCATGTGGTATCAAAATCTTCAAGGTGTGTTTTGGCAAAGCTCAGTCATGACTGCATGTGGTCTTTTGTGAGGAGTGGCTTTTTTCTTGCAACCCTCCCATACAAGCTATGTTTGTGGAGAATTTCTGATATTGTTGTCACATGCACACAATGACCACTCTGTCATAAATTCCTGCAACTGCTTCAGAGTTGCTGTAGGCCTTGGTAGCCTCTCTGACCAGTTTCCTCTTAGCTCTTTCATCCAGTTTGAAGTGACATCCTGATCCAGGGATAGTCTGTGTTGTACCAAATACCATCTACTTCTTAATAATAGAACCATCTCCTGCCTGTCTACAACGTTATCCTGGAGATCTTTTGACTGTGCCTTTCCACCCATAGTTGATTGTTTGCTTCATTTGCACTACCGGGACTGAAAGGCTCCAGGAAAGCTCCTTTCATCAAAATGACCACAGCTGATCACAGTTGAAAGACAAATGGCTTTGTGTGCCATTTATGAAGGTGATTAACTACACCTGACTGAGTTTACAAGTTCTTTTTAGGAGGGGGCGATCCTTTTTCCAACTCAGTGATTCTGTTTTTGATTTTTTTTCTGACAAGTTGGTGTCATTTCTTTCACTTGCATATTATAAGTGGCACTTAGTAAATACAGCTACATAAAACAAAAACTGCCTGTCTTCATTTCAGACTGCAGAGCGACACAATGAGATTATATTAAAGAAGGGTGATTCTTTAAGTATCCACTATATATGTAGTACATTTTAATGTTACTTAAAGAATGTATTTAGTTTTTTAAAGCAGTTCTGCCAGGAAACTACAATTAGCCAAGACATTACTGACCTTATATGGTCATGTCCATCTATGATCAATAATGTCACCTAGGAGACTCCACCCCTTTGTATATATCAGATGTCATCCACTGGACCTGTCATTTGGCGGTGAAGCGAGTGCAGAAGTTTTTTGCTTTAAGCAGTTAGGGGGGCATCAGCCATTATGACTGATGTGGATCTTCATTGCTTGATGATGGTGGATGGATGTACATTGTGGGATTATTTTTTCATTTATTTTTTTAAAGGGTTTTCCAAAAACTGTCCCCTTTTTTTTACTGTTCGCCTATTTTTGTGAATGAATAAGGCATCTATGTACCTCTTACTCATTCAGCTGTGGCTATATCTTGAGCCCCCTAATTGTTAAAGGGGACTTCCCTTTTTTTGATAAGCCTTCCACCTGCAGACCCCACAACCACCAGGACAGGGTTGTAGGGCAGAGGCACTTATACTCACCAACATGAGAACAAGATGCTTTATTTGGCAAGGTACCCCCATGTTAACCACTTCCTCGCCACCCTGTAGCAGAAATAATGCTACAGGGCGGTACGGCTGAGCAAAATCACACACACATATATATTATATATATATATATATATATATATATGTGATTTTCAGTTCTGGGTGGGAGGCCGGCACTGTCATTCGCGGCCTTTGCTGTCAAGCACCGGGTCCCGGCTAGTGATTCCTGCTGGCAACCAGTGATCACTGAGTATCACCAACTGGGGAGAGACCTGTGTACAAACAACACAGATCTCTCCCCTGTCAGCTGCTGCACACTGCTTTGTATGGCTCTGCATAACAGAGCCATACAAAGCAGTGTGCTTACAGTGTAAAGCACACACACAGCACACAGTGAAACAGCACACAGCACACAGTTAACCCTTTGATCACCCCAGATGTTAACCCCTTCCTGCCCAGTGCCATTAGTACAGTGCCAGTGCTTTTTATTAGCACTGATCACTGTATTGGTGTCACTGTGGATGTCAATGACACCAAGTCAGTTCCCCCCAGTGTCAGAATGTCCACCGCAGTCCCGAAATCCCGCAGTCTCGCTGTAAGTCGCTTCCAATATATATATACTGTCATTTTAAACGCTATAACTTTCACATAAGTCAATTAATTTACACGTATTTTGATTTTTTTTTTTTAGCAAAGATATGTAGCAGAATACATTTTGGCCTAAATTTATGATGACATTTGATTTTTTAAAACATTTTAACTGGACATGTTTAATAGCAAAAAGTCAAAAATATTGTTTTTTTTTCACAATTATCGGTCTTTTTTTGTTTATAGCGCAAAAAATAAAAAACGCAGAGGTGATCAAATACTACCAAAAGAAAGCTTTATCTGTGGGGAAAAAGGACGTCAATTTCATTTGGGTGCAGCATTGCATGACCATGCAATTGTCAGTTAAAGTAACACAGTGCCGTATCGCAAAAAATTGCCTGGTCAGGAAGGGGGGGGTAAATCCTCTGGAGGGCAAGTGGTTAAGGGCATGTAGCCTTGTGTTGCTCAGGAGTTGGGAATCACACTCATTACCGCCTTTTTATTCTGATCTGCCAGGCTGTATGCTTGGAGAAGAGTCTGGTATAGAATTTTGAGGGGAACCTCACACTTTGTTGTGCAGGGTCCCCTTTAATATTAAACACCAGATCTGATGGGCCTGTAATGAATTAGGGGGAACCCATGCTGTTTTTTAGTCCCCCATTAGCATCTATATCAGACCATCATCTAGGATAAGGGTGTGGTAAAAGTGAAGGGAATCCCTGGCTGCTTTGTTGACAGAACAAAGCAGCAAGGAGCTGTCATTTTGCCTATAAGCAAATGTATTTCTTTGTAAATGTCAGTGTTGTTGTAGTAGGTTGTATACATACTGTAGCACATATGAGCTAATTCATAGGTAGGGTCAGGGCATACCTCAGGCATATTACTGAATTGCGTTTTGCATTTTTAAAGTTTCATTTTAAGCATTACTAAAATTTCTACTCCTACCCAATGTTTTGCTTTGGTACATGTTCCCCATGACAGTACACAGCACCCCATGCCATTTGTTTCACAATCCCTTGACTATCACCCATGGCTTCATTGACTTGAGGTTTGGATTCAGCACTTGAACTTTAGTCATGCTTGCTGAATCCTGCTCAGACTGAACCTAAATATATTTGGCTTGCCCGCATTACCTCTATGACAGGGCGATTTTTTTTTCCTGTAAAATAACAAACATGGCCTACTTACCTGCTCTGTGTAATAGTTTTGTACAGAGCAGCCCAGATCCTCCTCTTCTTGATTCCCCTGCTGGCTCTCCTGGCTTCTCCCCCTTGCTGAGTGCCCTTGCTATGCTGCTTGCTATGGATTCACTCATGAAGGCTTAATTCCAAGCCATGCACTGTGTGTCCATTGACACACTTATTGCAGCTCAGCCCCCCCCCCCCCCCCTTCTGCACTCTCCTCACAGGCTGTGATTGACAGCAGTGGGATCCAATGGCTTCTGTTGCTGTGTCTTAGAATGAAGAGAGAGAAAAAAGAGAGCCACTGTTCTTGTGCACATTACTGGATTGCAATGAGGCTCAGGTAAGTATTGGGGGGCTGGGGGGGGGGGACTGCTGCACACTGAAAGTTTTTACCCTCATAAATAGAATGCATGAAGGTAAAACACTTTCAGCCTTTCAAACCTCTTTATCCCTTGAACCCCTTGCTAGTGCACCACAGCTGTGTGCATTTGTACAAAACTGTGGGGCTGTTGCAAAACAGTCCCATTCACTTGAATAGGTTGTGGTCAGTGGGTGGCACCTGCCAACAGGGGGTATAATTCCTACCATGACACAGGGCAGCATGGCTGCAGCATGTGTACAGCCCCAGCCACTGCCTATGTAGCTAAAAGGGTTAGCAGTTGGGGGCTGTAAAAACACAGCTCAATTGCTGGGGCTCTTATTGCTGGCCCCAGAGGAGCTCATTTTACTTCCACAATCTTTTCAATCCCTTTTTAGTCTATACAAAGGGGGCAAAGGTGGCACACTATGAGCCTTAGACTGGGAAGAAACATTTGTTTTGACCACGCCCATTGTTGGACTTACCCACTGTTTGGCCACGCCCATGTGTGAAAAGCAGCAGCTCTCCCATTTATGCTTCCAGCACCTGCACAGCACCCCCAAACATTTTGGGCTGGAGCCGCCCCTGCTCTATGAACAGAGAAAATGATATCAATACTCAAAATGCCAGCACTTCTTAAACTTAAAAAAAATCCACAAATGGAGATAAATTCCTATTCCCTGTTCATGGTCATAGTATTCTAATGTGATAGTCAAAAATAGCTGGACTGAGGATTTTAAAAAGATGTAAAAGATTAGGAACAACTTGAATCAATGAGGGGGGAGTCTGGTGACACTTTGCATGTGAATGGGAGTAGATGTTTTGACTATCCCTTTTGAAGTGTGTGGCTATGAACAGGGAGTAGGAACTGTTTTCCCTGTGTGGAAAGTTTAAGAAGTGCTAGCATCTTGGGTAATAATATCCAGCAGGAGACCAAGAGGATATTTCTTAGACCAGAGTTTCTCAGCCAGGGAGCTGAGGCACCCTGGGGTGCCTTCTGGTTTCATCATTGGTGGCACACTGTCCCATTTTTTGCACAGTGTCATGCATTTCTAAGGTGCAGACTGGGTGGCCAAAGACTCTGATGTGAAATTAGGGGGCTGAGGATTCTGATTTAGAAAGGTGGGGGGCTGAGGGCTCTGCTATGAAAAGGATGGACTGAGGACTCTGATGTGACAGCAAGCAACTGAGGACTCTGGGGTGTCTTGAGATTTTTTATACTTTTAAAGGGTGAGGTAATTAAAAAAAGTTAAGAAGCAAAGAATGTGGTGTAGTCATCAGTCCTAAAAATGTTAATTATATTCATTTGGTCTCCTGCTAGATATACTGAGTGTCTGCTTCCTGTAACACTGAGGCTCCAACACTGATAGGCACCACCAACCATGTAGCCACTGTGCTGTCCATTGCAATTGGATTATGCACTAGCATGTGACCATTATGTAAACTGTTTAGTACATCTATGGCTGTAGTAGTGCTTATGTTGTTACTGTCAAATATGAATGAGGAGGTGGATGAGTACTTTCAGGTAGCCCAAATAACTTTTAATCCGATGTTATTGTTAAAATGAGATTATCTGCAATTTGAATTTATCGTTCTGAGCAGTGTTATATATTAAATTATAAATATTATACTGGTATGCTGATGAGGAAAATACAATCTATCATACATGTTTAATTTTTCATAGATTAGTAGTAATGATGCAACCCTGAAACAAATAGGTTGTTGTAATGTTAATGTGATATTAAAGGCAATTTAAAAAAAACAGACATGTCATACCTACCTGCTCTGTGCAGTGGTTTTGCACAGAGCAACCCTGATCCTCCTCTTCTCAGGTCCCCTGCTGGTGCTCCTTGCCCCTCCCTCCTGGGAGGCACCCAAGCAGGCTCGCTCCAGATCCCCTGCTTTGCGACCCCATCTCCTTTCTCTCCTGATTGGCTGTGATTGACAGCAGTGGAAGCCATTGAGGAGAGAGAGTCCCCTGAGAGCAGCAGCTCTCACATTGCTGGGTTATGATAGGGCTCATGCAAGTATTAGCATGGACTGGGGGGCTGCTATACACAGAATTGAAGGCATGAAGTTAAAAAAACCTTGGGCTTTTACAACCACTTTAAGCTGTGCAGCATTAGATCTCCCAGTGACATTCCTCAGCCACATTTACTCTTACTTCAGTTAAGTTCAAGTTATGCAGGCAATATAATATGTTCATAGAAAATGTCATTTCTTCAGGAGTCTGTTGAAGAGATGTAGGATGTCTGCTAATATGAATATTTTAATTGCTCGTTTAATGGCATCTATTAATTTATCCCAGGATCCTCATTCTAAGCTGCCAATAAAACACAGAATTTACAAGCACTATTAAGGGAGTTTAGGAATTAAATGAAAAGACTTAATACAAAACACACAAAAGCCCAGAAGGCTATGCAATTAATTATATCAGCTTGTGACAGAACAACAACGCTACTTTGGATTCAAGCCAGACACGAGCATGAAAACCGCACTGGGATAACCTGATTGTCTAGACACAGAGGAAGAAGAAAGGTAAATGATTTAGTTAAAGAGTGTTAAGAGAGCTGAGAGAGCAGTTTCTTCACATTAACTATGACAAAAAGCAATTGTAGACACAAGGCCTTAAGCTATACAAAGGATGCTAGGTTAGTTCACTCATGTCACAGGCTTTTGAGAAGTGCTCTTAAGAGGATTTAAAGGCAAAACTGAAGGTACTGTATTTCAGGAGGTTTCGGACTGCCAGAAAACAAACATGAGTAAGACAATGTAAGTTTTGTAACACAATGATCTCTGGAGATTTCAGAAAAAAATTACAAATGTAAAGTAGATGGATACCAGTGCACTAGAAGCAACTAATGATTTCCAAATAAAGTCTATTTAGTCTAGTAGCAGATAATGTTTCCCATATTTCAGTGGTGAGGTTTGATCGGTTTCAGCATCTTTTGCATAATCCCAACTTTTTTTCATCTTTAATTTTCATTGAAGACCTTGTGGAACAAAACGTGATTGTGCTTAAATAATGTTAAATTGATAGGATGGTAGCAAATATCATGGAAAAAACCACTACCAAAGCACCAACGTTTGAAGAACTGTGAAGAATGGAACTTATATGAGTAGTTATTGAGTGGAGGTGTTAGCATGCTGTTTACACAGAGATAAGTACAACAATCATTCCCCTATATTATACTGCATTTATTAGTTCTACCACTAGGTGGAGGTATTCTTGTATAAAGTAAGCCTATTCCTAGTTGAACAACATGGTCATGACGTAATTTGTGTTTCTCTGTGTTTCTGTCATTTTCCAATTGTAGGAATACCCCCTTAGGGGCCGCTGAGTAATTTTTAGGTTCCCTGTCTTTCTTGATCCTGCTCTGGAAGCCAAGCCCCTGCCGACTGCACCTTAAACCTCTGGCCAGAAGAATCCTCTGACTGAAACCATAAAATA